ATTGATATATCACATGTTGACATTTTATAGAAAATATTTCCCGATAAAAGTGGTCACTCCGGCCGATCCCGAGGTCACAGGACAATATAAATCACATATTCTGACTCAGCATTGAATGAACGTTCATATCCAATCAAAAAATCCCGAGTGCCAGCTTAGCCAATTCTGTATTGTATTATGACAGTGTTCTTTAATTCTTATTCATTTCCCACTATTACAGTTAATACACTTTACAATATTTTAAACATTAACAAATTATGAAAATTATTAATATTGTTAAAATTAATATTAAAATAACTAGTTCAGTTTAAATAAATCACTATGTAATTGTTATGTGAATTTTTGAAAACTGAACAAAATTTTAACATGGTTGAATATATTGGATGAATATTGTATTTATAATTACATAACATATCAAGGTCAATAGGGATTGTCCCGGAATGCCAGTAGTAACTGTAATCAAACACTTAACATATATTTCACTTAACTATAAATACAAGTATTTTTCAAGTGTTGAATTCAGTTTAAAATTTATTTAGTTTTCCAATAAATATTTAACAAATATATCACTTTAGTTATTGTGAAGATCATGTCTGTCCCCACTTTAGGCTACTATAAGGTGCGAGCATTTGCTCAGCCATCCCGACTGCTACTGAAATACACGGGAACTTCATTTACGGACAAGTATTACGAGTTTGGGTCCACTCCGGAGACCTTACGTGATCACTGGTATAAAGAGAAGTTTACATTAGGATTGGACTTCCCTAACGTTCCCTATTATATCGATGCGAACGTAAAGCTCACCCAAAGTATCGCTATTTTGCGATATTTGGGTCGAAAACACGGTTTGGTGGCCAGGGATGAGACCGGACTCGTACGCCAGGATCTCGTCGAACAGCAACTCTTTGACTACAGGACAGGGTTTCTGCAAACTGTGTTCAATAAAGAGGGCTTTGAAGAAAACAAAAAGAAATTTATTGCCGAAACACTTCCTCAATGGTTGGATCAGTTGTCGAAGTTCTTGGGCAGTGATCAGTGGCTCACCGGAAAGACACTGACTTATGTCGACTTCTTGGGCTACGAAGTCCTCGATTGGTTCCGACTGTTCAGTCCGGAGACCATCAAGAAGTACCACAATTTGGTTCAATATTTGGATCGATTTGAAAATTTGCCACAAATTAAGGCTTATATGAAGTCCAATGAGTTTATAAGTTGGCCACTGTTTGGACCTGTTGTTCAATGGGGGTATAAAAAGTAATATTAAATGCTTTTATAATTAAATATAATGCTTAAGTAAATAACTTTAAAAGTTATTAATTTTTTCTATTAATACAATTATTAATTTTAAAACTTTGTATTCTTTATTAAATAATATTCATTATGCATACAGTATACTGATATAATACAATTTATATTATAAATATAATGTTAAAAAATTAAAATAAAATTTTTATTATCGAAGATTTTAGTTTATGATTTATTAGTACGTTTAAAAGTTAAAACTCTAATCCGATTGTCAATCATTGACCACAATTATCTGCATGACTAGAGACTAGACATCACCTGAGAATCAATGTCTGAAGATATAAGCAATGGATGCAAACAATGCAATAATCCATTGGAAGGATATTTCGGTGCATAAGTCCTTTGAGTTCAAATCTGTATCATAACCACTTCACTGTAATTTTAATTGAGTTATCAGTATTTGCATTCAAATTATAATTAAGATAAATATACCGTATATACTGTATAACCAGTTATCTTAGGCATCCTTAGATGAACTCATAAAAATCAATCAATTTGATAACTTTTTAATATTAATAGATTAATTATACAATGCATTATGTATGCATGAATATATTCTTATTTATGCAATAATTTCTATTAATTTTATTGAATTAACAATATAAATTTAATATTATAAACTTGTTTTAAATATCAGATCTATGAGATAATTTTTTAAAAATGTACAATTGATACATTAATTGATTACTGTTTTTTGTTCAAATTGTATAATACATAATTAATTACGGTATATTGATAATGCAGCGATATTTTTAAGTCCATTTATACACTGTTATCGATAATACAGAACACATGAACTTAGTTCCTATATCCCTAAAAGTGTCCTAACCAAGGTTATAATTGTATGAATATTTTGTAAGTAATATATTAAATGTACAAATGTAATGAATGTAATTCTTATCTACACTATAGTTCACAATTACATTCAAAACTCTTTACATATACAATAACAAATAATTTGCATATTTATTAAATTTAAACCAATAACATTATTATGAAATAAATGTTTAATATAAATCATATTTTTTGGTAACTTTAATTTATTTAAACATAATCTTTCAGTTTATTAATTAAAGGTACTGTACAAGATATTAAAATACAAAGTAGTTGGCAGTGGTTAAGATACCAAGGTTAAAAAGGAATGCCTCGGAATGCACACTAAAAATGAACTTAAAACGGTTATCATTAGTTTTATTTATAATACAAGAAGTTTTCCAGACTTTTATTCAGTGTTTAAAATATATTTAACATTTATATTAAGCTTTATATCACTATTTAAGAAAAGTATTGTGAAATCATGTCTATTCCCACTTTAGGCTACTTTAAGGTGCGAGCATTTGCACAGACATCACGACTGATACTGAAATACACAGGAACTCCTTATACGGACAAGTATTACGAGTTTGGCAAAGATTTGGCAACATTTAAGGACAGTTGGTATAAAGAGAAGTTCACATTAGGACTGGACTTTCCTAACGTTCCCTATTATATCGATGCGAACGTAAAGCTCACCCAAAGTATCGCTATTTTGCGATATTTGGGTCGAAAACACGGTTTGGTGGCCAGGGATGAGACCGGACTCGTGCGACAGGATCTCATTGAACAGCAATTCTTGGACTATAGGACAGGATTGACGGAAATAGTGCACAATAAAGACAACTTCGAGTCAACGAAAGCTAAATATATCGCCGAAACGCTTCCCCAACAGTTGGATCAATTGTCAAAGTTCTTGGGCAGTCATCAGTGGTTTGTCAGACAGACACTAACATACGTCGACTTCTTGGCCTATGAGACACTCGATTGGATCCGAGTGTTGAGTGCGGAGACCCTTAAGAAGTACCACAATTTGGTTCAATATTTGGATCGATTCGAGAATTTGCCACAAATTAACGCTTATTTAAAGTCCAATGAGTTTAAAAATTTACCAATTTTTGGTCCATATGCTCAGTGGTAATTCACTGAACATTATACTGTATAATGAATCAATTAAGTAAATGGTTTTAAATAATAAAATCAATATTACAAGTCATAGTTTTGTAGCTTAGAAAATTTTAACATTATAATAAATAATATTATAATTCAATTAGACAATTAATAAATAAAAGTTTGTAAAATTTTGAAATTTTATATTAAGTCAATTCTAAGTTTTATAATTAGGCTTTATAAATTATAGTTTGGGAACTCTTGTAATAATTACTTTGTTTATAATTAAAATTTTAAAAATATTCTTTATAAAATTTATATTTATATTATAGATAAACGTTAACTTTATTTTATTAAATCACAAGATTTGTAATGAACACAAGTATTAAATGAAATGAAATAACAATTTATAAAATTAATGTGTTTTATCTGTTCAATAGTTTTGTTGTCTATCGAGTGGTCCATCGGTCACACAATTGACGCGCAAATCGCTTACTATCCGAACGTCACGAGCGATCACTATGACTGCGGACTCGCGAGGGATTCGCACGCAATGAACGACCGGTGCTTCCGATGGCACTCCAGTAGTGGTGACCCAATATTGAGCCATATATTTATGGGACGGCCGGCAGAAGTGGGGGAAATGCCGTGGATTTGCTATATAAGGATCGCTAGAGTCAAAGAAGTTAAAGTTTGGTTCTGGACCACCACTGAAACTACAGGGTATTTATTTTGAAATCAAGGATTTCGTATTAAAAATTAAAATATAAACATTTGAATATTTCGATAAAAAGTACACCAAAATGTTCACCAATAATGAACATTCTATGCGTATATCACCAAACTTGCTTAACTTTTGTACCTAGGTCATAAATAACGGCCTCACGATTATACTGAAGCAACTGAGCCATCGGGACCACTATACCATCACGTGTCCGGTATAAACACACCTACCCGTGCCGTATACAGTACAGTAAGATTACCCCTAAACTGTTCACTCATTACACGTTTAGGGCGACTCCGGGAGTCCATTGGCTCAGTACGTGAATGGCCGGGCGGTCATGATAGGCGTGCTATCGCACGGTACAAATATATGCGCCCCCTATGATTACCCTTGGTTTGTGCGAGTATCATTTGTTATCAATTGGATCACCAATGTCACTTTGGCGAACTTATAATTAACTTTTATTATTATTATATGAATATTGTTTAATTTACAATATTAGCATAAACAATAATAAAACAATATTACCGTATATCTTTATTTATAAAATCTTGTTCAGTTACCATGCGCTTTTATTTTAATATTATGCTTTTGACAGTACTGTACTTGTATATGGTATACAGTAAATCTATAATTAATGTCATCAGTATTTTAAATAAAATTATTTATATTTTTATAATATGCCAATAACATATCGTGATAAAGTAAACTTATTTAATAAGTTTTGTAAATAAAAATTGTTTAAAACTATAGTAAATAATCTTTGTAAAAATGTACTTTGGAAAACAATTTGGGAACAACCGTAAAGTATAGAAAATATAGTAATGTCGTGAAAAGCATTAAATTCATAGTTTACCCACCTTACTCATTCATACAAATACTGTACTCGGTGTCCAACTCGTAGATGCAATAAGTTCCAATAACATTTTGAATTTTAATTTTACATAGTTAGAATAATGATATGAAATTGAATAGTAGTGGGATTGAAAGCCTATCAACGGTAGTATAATTTAATAATTTAGATGACCACTCAGTTGTCAATTGAACTGAATTAAATTAAGTTTTTCAAAAACTTGCGAAGTTTGACAACCTCATTTTAAACTTATATATATCTAATACTAATAATGATAATTATATCAACTAAAGCTAAAATTAACAAGCACATCTAGGCCTAAAATATTAGTAATTAACCCGCAAAAATTCTATTAGGCTTGGCCATTCTTTCGGAGAAAATTTAATTATGTTGAATTTCATAAAATTTGAGTAATGAAAAATTAACAATAACGTTTTAATAATTAATAACAAAATAATTAATTTGGTCATGATATAGTGCAAATTGTTGCCCATAATAAGACAAATAATATGCATATTCTAAAATGTCA